AATTGTAGCTACACTTTTCCTGTTAATCTGTTTAAATTTTCCACACAATTCATTCTGCATTGCTACTCTCTTTGGTACAAATCTGTAACTATAATATGTTTATGCTTGTTCTCATGCAGGATTCCATATTACAGATATATAAAAGTGCATGTTAAGGTAGCAGGTATGCAAATAAATGTGTCATAAATGTGCTCTTTGTCTCTATGTTCCTTTGGAAGCATTGTGCCCACATGGGCAGTGTTCTGGCTTTGTCTTCCAATCCGGGCCATCAGAACTGGCCTTTCTCCAAGGATCATCTTCCTTCTCGCTGGGACGCACATCCTGCCCACTGGGACCGGCCACCACGCTGGGAGAGGAGAGATGGGCGCCTACCCAACCCTGGCAGCTTTCACTCTCTCCACAGGAGCTCCAAAGGTAGCTTTCGGTTGATGAACCAAGATCTGTGGAGTGAACACTATGACTCCACATCTTAAAACACCAAAAACACCAAAATCTTAAAATTCAATTGTATTTTCTTTGGATTTTATAAGATATACCAACACAAAATGGTGTGTAGTCATGCTTATGTCACACCGTTCATTCTTTATCACAAACCTATATATACATATTTATGTTTTTGGCTTTTTGTTCTCTAACATTCCCTAATAGGTCTCCAAGACCTTCACAAAACAGCTGGATTTATACCTAATTGTGCACAGGTGAACGCCATTTAAATATTTGATGAAGGCATCTTGTTGCACTGTATTTAGTTTTGGAGTATTAGATTGAAAAAGGGAAAAATTTCTATTTGGAAAAAAGAAAAAAAAAAAAATTTCCTTCTGCAATTATACTTTGCTTTGTGTTGGCTTACCACAAAAAAATCCAAGTAAAATACATTGAGGTTTGAAGTTGTAATGTGAAAAAACTCAAAGACTATTAGTACCTTATGCAGTGCTGTTTACCATTCTATTCATGTTTTATTTTTGTTGTTCTTCATTGTCCCCACCAGATGTTTTTCCTCAGCAGATTGAGGGTGTCAAGATGATTATCAATAAAACTTTGAGTAGTTTTTTTAAGGTGACTCTTCATTATTTACATTTATATTTTGGAACAATATTTTTATCTTTGACTAAAGTAAAGAACCTATTTCCAGGTCAGTCATACCCTCCACCTCAGTGCTGTAAGTCCCTCCTACTATCGGTTCCACGTGGAGCATTGCAGTCTGACGACTACAGCAAGGACAAGGTTGGACCCAAATAGTCGAATATCTAAATTATTACTGCTTTTCAGAGTTTCTGCTTAGTTCTGAAAAGTTTAGAAAATTATGGATTTTAGTTTAGGATAAGTGTGGAAGAAAACATACGACCCAAATACAGTTATATTTGCAGTCTTTTATTTTGAACCTTGTTAATATCTGAACTTTAAAAAGTACAACTGGTTTGTTTATAAAACGGGTTAAATAAATGATGCACATAGAAGTATGAGCATGTGACTTACAGATTCAAATCATTCAATTTGATTCTGGAAAAGTATAACATTTTGACTTAGCATATCTGTAGAAACCCTCGCTTTGTTAACATAATTTTAGAAGCTATAGTAATAATAAAATAAATAAAGAAATTTTCTTTGTCTTATCCAATTTTAGGATGCCCCAGCTTTGATTGGTGAAATGAACTCTTCAGGTAGTCTGAACGCTCACGCTCTCCTTCATCTCACCGAGCGCGTTCGAGCCAGAACGGTATTCCAGGTGAGTTTCCCGGTGTCTTTTGGGGCCGTTTATATCCGTCCCATTTGCAGCATCCATAGAAGTCCAATCCTTCTTTAAAAACTGGCGCAGATTTTTTTTAATTTATTTTTTAAAAAGCTCACAGCTTGAACTGTATTTCAGACCCAGCAGTCTCAGTTCGTAACGTGGCAGTTTGAAACCGAGTACAGGGGGAGCGACTTCACCGCTGCTGTGACAGTGGCCAACCCAGACATCCTCAGAGAGTCAGGTCAGAAATGGCTAAGTCGCAACTAAAAATATAAGCAATATATACATTTTTGCTTGGTGTTGTAAAAGATAGTTTAAATGTGTCAATTTTATGTAAAACTTAACAATTTGCACAGTTTGAAGCATTTTTCAAGTTTTTTATAATGTCTCTGTGGTAACTTCTTATTACATACATCCTGTGTGCAGTTATTCTGGTGGCACACTTCCTACAGAGTGTGTCATCTGGCCTGGTGTTGGGAGGAGAACTGGTGTACCACCGAGGGCGAGCAGAGGAAGGAGGAATTCTGACTCTGGCTGGACAGTACTCAAGTGAGATGTTGTTCTTCCACTGTTATAGGCACTTTCTTACCCTTTGACATTTTTATAAGGTTGAAAACAAAAAAGAGGCCTATTTTTGATCAATAATTTCAGAATAAGTTGCTTTCCTGTGTTCTCTTTCCTTGAACATGTGCCTCAGATTTTCTGTTGGATTTTTTCCCGTTAACTTAAGAAGGCAGATTTTTTTTGTCTGCTAAATCATATTTATGTTCACAGTTTTATGCTTCACAAAAAGGCCAATGATTATCTTTTTTCAGTTTCTGTTAACCAATACCACCAGAGTTTTACACAAAATGCCCTCATATTATTAAAGTATATGATGTGCACCACTAACAAGCTTCCAGTGGTGTTTGTACAGAGCTAAATTAGTCTCATAAATATTCACAAAGCACACAATGGTATTTGGATGCGTATAGAAAGATTTGTAAATGTACCACATAATTTACAAATGTGTATAACAATGCATAAAAGCGTACCTCAAGATTCACATATGTGTAAACGGTTTGTTGAATTTACATGTTTCAAACTATACAAGTAGTAATAAATTACGCATACAAATCTGAAAATACACGTGCACAAATCGCCAACGCGTATCGGTCAATTCGAGGCCACAGATCAGCTTGCCTGCACTTTCGACTTTTGAGATTTTCTTACAGCATCATCTCACTTTGGTTTCACAAGTGAAAATTATGTGTTTAGGCTGGTGAAAAACTGGGATGTGATGTATTATACCTATATTTTTCAAAAGGCTTCTCTTTATTTTACTTTGTTGCCATATAGGACCAAACTGGGTCGCAACCCTTAATGCTGGCAAAGGCGGCGCCCATGCTAGCTATTATCACAGAGCCAACAAACAGGTCTGAACAATAACAGCTTGCCTGTTATGTACTTATTATTTGTGTAGAGCATGCTAAGGGAAAATTTGTTTTGCCAGATCCAAGTTGGGGTGGAGTTTGAAGCCAGCACCAGGACGCAGGAGACAACAGCCTCCTTTGGGTACCAGATGGATCTCCCAGAGGCCAACATGGTTTTTCGAGGTAGTCTAAGGTGATTTTAACTAAGGTTGCTACTGCCAAAAAAATCAGTGTATCAGGCATCTTTTTATGGCAAATATTCAGGTATGATCAACAGCCGGTGCATCATTGGAGGTGTGTTGGAGAAGCGTCTTACCCCGCTTCCTGCCACCCTGATTATGGGAGCCTTTGTGAACCACAGAGGTGACAAGCTGCAGGTCGGGCTGGGCGTCAACGTGGGATGACCCTCCACATCCTTGAACTGGAATTATGAAAAGAATGTCACGACATCAATCTGGAGACCTACGTTTGAGATTTTTTTAAAAATGCACCGACTTAAAGGCATCACCTGCACTGAAACTCTTTCTGTTGGTTTAACTCCATGTATCTCACCTTGAAAACTACCTCTCAATAACAAGGTGATGTTTTCTGATTATGGGGAAAGTTCTGTGCCAGAGGAATGGATGATTCTTCAGAAGGGAGCATCACCCTCTGAACTTTGAAAGATGAAAGTGAAATTGTACTGTATATTTAGAGTGTCAATTTTACAATGTCGGTAGTCATAAAGAAATGTAAAAATATACACATGAAATGACAAAAATGTACTTCCCATTTTAGTGATTTACCTTGAAATTATGTATTGTTGATTCTTCTGCAAGCTGTTTCTAAAAGAGAAATTTAAAAAATTATGATATTTTACATTTTTCACAAAGCCACTGGTCAGGAGTAAATCTGCGAACAACAAAATCAAAAGATGGAAAAATTTTGTGGCATCTATCTTTCAGGCGTTATGAGTTTGCAAGCACTGTCTGGCATTAAAAAAAAACAAAATCACCGGCCTGAAGCAAGTTTTAGCTCTCAAATGAAATAAATACAGCTAGTTTAAATCTGTATAAATTTTTGTCTGCAGTTGATGTTAATATGATCTCCAAAGAAATACAGAGGAGCAAAGCAGATGGATCTGAGGGCATCTATGCACAGATTTGTATCTTATATGTTTGCCCAAAAAGGCATGTAAAAACACAAATTTGGCATTTTCAGTCCTATTTGACAAATTCTAAATATTTTAAATCTGTACTGTATAATCCACTTAAAAGGACTTTGGACTGGAGAAAAAGATGACTGTACTTTTTTCTGACATGATTTAATAAAGATGTTATTTATGTCATAACCTTTGGTGTTCTGCCTATTAAAAAATCCATCTGAGTCATAATGAAATGGTTTAGATCAAAGTGTGTTCATGGGTTGACATAGTAAAAGATCAGATTAACAAAATTAGGAACCTCTGGCAACTATTCTCTAAAGCGGCCACTCCAAACCTACAGAGCAAGTGATTCTTGGAGAAAAAATAGAAATGGTCTCATTTTTTTCTATTAGAGGCTAAATCATCTAAAATAATAATAAAAAATATATTGGTCATATTTTCAAGAAATCGATCAAAATTCATCCTCCCTTCACATTTACGAACAACACAGAGACACATGCTTATTTTTAGCTCTTTCTTTGAGATGATGTTTTGCATGATTCATAGCAGGAAAAAAGTAATATCTCACCTCTTCTAATCTTATCCTCACCCTCTGTAATGATCATCAGCTCTTCCTGCTTGAAGTGCACAATTTTAAGTAGAATAATGAACAGTTTGTTCCCCTATTTACATAAAAAAGAGGAGACTGTTTGCAGAGTAAAGAAAGAAATCATTAAATTCTAATGTTTTTATTAAAAGTTTAAAATTATTAATAAACTGTACATATTTACAAACAGAAAAGTACATTCAGACATTACATTTGTAAACATTTAACTTGCTGATATTGCCGATATTGATCAGTGTCCATCATCTGTTGCCAAAAGGACAAATGAGGCTGTCTTATTTGTCCTTGAATAAAGAGGAAAAGAATCCTTTTCCTCCTTCACCCTTCACTCTCAAAGACTTGCTTCTTTGGAGTCCAACAGCGCTCCCCTTTTCCTGCTTCTCCTTCTTCTTCTCCTCTTCCCTTTGCAGCACCTGTTGATTGATGATGAAGCGCATGTCCTCCTGCAGCAGGACAAAATTGTAGGCTTTAGGAAATACTGATGTGAGGTGCTAGGTGTAGGTGTGAAGTTCAGCATAGATATGTAGAAGAGAAGATTATGTGAGTGCTTCCTCATTCACTTTTTAAAATATTTTAGCATTGTATAGACAGCTATTTACTTTAATCTACAAGTTAAACATGTTTGAAATAAAAGCTTTACACAAACAAAAAAACTCACCTGCCAGGCATCCAGTTCTTGAGACAGCACCACCTTGTGTTTGATTGTGTTGAGAAGCTGCTGAGTGAGCACTTCTTTCTCCTGACGAACTTTGGCCAGTTCACTCTCCAGAGAGCTGGACAGAAAATTAAATACTATTAGCCTTTATTTATTTATTTTTGTTATAAATTAAAGATAATGTCTAATAAAACACAGAAACGTTTTCTGTTGCAGCATCACCTGTAGCTCTGATTTTCTCCTCCTCTGAAGGGTTTAATTTCTTCCCTGAGAGACTCAAGTTCCTTTTGCTGAGACTGGAGCTGCAAAGACAAAAAATGATATAGTTTCAGTGTTTTATTTTAAATACATCTTAAAACACAAACTACAAAACACCAGTTGTCTAATAGAAGAATTAATTCTTCTATTTCATTAATACAAGAAGTATATATTTTCAACATGCTGTAATGTTTCCAACTTTGTATGTTAGGATATAAAAATGTATATTGTTGTATATTATTTAGCTCTTTTTACTGTCTTGAAGGGGGACTTTTTTTCTGTTTTTGCTAATTGGCTCCAAATGATGCATTTTCCTCTACTCTTTTGACCTGCTGCTTTAATGAATGTTGAATTCATGTGTAGCTCTTAACATACCTCATCCTTTAATGCTTGTATTTCTTCATCTTTGGCCTGCAGCGCTGAGGAGTGAGCCAAGAGAGCCTCTGTAGCCTATAAATAACAGGAAACATAAAGAGCACAAAATGATTTTGTTGCAATACGTTGGCATTTCTGCAAGGTTTCCAATAAAAATTAATTGTGGACATCCGTTAGCATCAGACACTTTTGACATAAGGGATGTGCACGTACTTATGAGTAGAGGTTCAGAATTAGCAGACAGTTCCCAGGTTAGACAGTAAAGTTACTGTATGTGTGTATCTGTGAGTACCTGTGTCTGCTGAATTTCACTGAGCAGAGACAAAGGTTGTGTGTGCGTACTATCCAGGAAGCTCTCCTCTCCCAGGTTCAGATCTTTTTGTTGTAAAGAGCGATTCAAGGTGCGTAACTCAAACACAACCCCCTGCTCCTGCTCTATCTATGTTCACACACAAAATACACACACACACACACCATAAGAAGCAAACAGGCGGATTGTGTAGGATTTTAAAGTGGATGTGTTAGTTATTTCTGTTAGTGGTAAATGGTATTATTATTAGGACAGTTGTGACTAATGCCTGATCTTCACCTCTGCTTCCTTCTCAGTCAGTTTAATATGAAGCTCTGACAGTCTGTCCCGCAGTCCGTCTCTCTCCACACGGAGCCTCTGGCTGTCCTCCTCTGAAGCTTTCAGCTGTGTCTCCATGTGCGACAGCCGCTCCTGCAATACTCTGTTCTGCGTGAATGAAGACGAGAATTGTAAATTTTTCATGAATTGAGTGAGAAGCTTACCTTTAAACTTCTGAATATATTTAGATTCATTTTTTATGCATCAAATGTGGGTAGACAGAAATAATAATGTTTGAGTTTTTATTATTAAATGTTAATTAAATCATGTTTTAGTTCTACTTAAATGGAAATCTGCATAGCAATGTAAAATACCTTAATATAGCAGTGTTTCACTGCAATACTGAAATAATTCACTGCAGCAATGCCCTATTTGGACATATATCACAAAATATCCAAAGTGCTCATTTGGGTTGGGGTCAGTTTTTGCCCCCTTATTCCCGCTGCTTCAGGACCTGCCTGACTTGGATTGACAAATGAGGGTTTTGGATTGGCCAAAGTCTGGACTTTATCTGAGTAAGATGTTGTGGCATCACTTGAAACAGCTTGTTCATATTCTGCAGGGTAGCTGAATTCAACAATTCACTATAGAAGATTGGCATTCTTATGGCAGAGGAATTGACAGTCATCCAAAATGCTTCATGGCAGTCAATGCTAATATTATTATCTTTAGGGGCAATTATTTCTTTCTTGGTATTTACTCATGTTTTGTCTTGTCTTATAATAGAATTAGTTAGATAAGATGAAATGTTACGTCAAAAGAAGTAAAATCATGAGAAATCTATGAGAGAGTAAATACTTTTCCATAGCAAAGTATTTTAACAGTAATTAGAAAGTTCTAATAATACCTCAGCTTGCATATTTTCTAATTGTGTGAAGCTGATATTTCGACTAAAGGATGACTCCTCCATCTCTTCTCTGAGGGTGCGGAGCTCAGTCCTCAAGGAGTGCTCCAGCGTTACAGCCTAGAAAACACAGGAGATGCAAGACTGTGAAACCTGTTTGTCTGCATTGTGGTCAAAAAAGTTCAACAGATATGACTCAATACACAGGTGAAAATGATTCAACCTCAGATAGTTGCTCCACCAGTCTCTGGTTGTGATTGGCCAACTGAGTCATCTGTTCGCTGTCATCTTTCCTCCGGTCTCTCCCCTCGCTGTGGTATTTCTGCAGCTCTGCCCTCAGTGCAGCTAAGTCTGCATTGAGCTCTGACTCCTTCTGCCCTGATTCCAGTTCATTCATCTCCAGCTTCCTCTGCAGGATGTGCTTCTCCTGCTGTAAAGCCTGAGACAATAAACTGCACATCAATCAACTTCATGACGTTGACAAGAAGTGTATGAATATTAGCAGCAAAGCCTGCAAAAGGGAGACATGCAAATCATCTGGAGTCTCCCCATAAATGGCTGAATTTTATTAGACCTTACATCTAAAATGTTATTGAATTGTTTTTGAGGAAAAAAAATACTATTCAGTTTGATTTCACTGTTCCCGCTTTCAGAAATTAAAATATTTTACAAATGTAATATTTCAATCTGATGTTTTTAGCACCTGAGTTTGTCCATTGTAAAAATCTGAACAATGATTATTGTATTTGAACATGATTAGTCCATCTCATTATAGAACAAACAATTATTAATGATTGCTACTATGCTCAGCAAATTAAACTTGCCAGCCTCGCCCATGTTACATAAAAATTGAAACAGTGCTGGTGCAGAAGATGTTCTTAACAGGAAGAATGCCCCCAAATCCACAGGTAAGTTTGAGATAAGCTTGGATTTTTGCTTTTTGCATCCATGATTAAATTGTTTTTTGTTTGTTTGTTTGTTTTACGAAATTCAACTTGTATCAGGTCCAGCCCAAGGCATAGCAAACTAACATTTCCAGGGCCACTAAGGGACCTTTTCAGTGGAGCTGATTTATTTATTTATTTATTTTAAGTAATAATTTCTATGTCATTATAATATCAAAAAAACACAATTTCACTATAAATGATTTGTTTTTACAATAATATATATTTGATCATGTATGTATAAATTATAATTTTATTAATAAAGAGAAAAAACATTGCTCTTGGTCACGGTAGGTACCGCATGCTTTGCCGGTAACATGAGCTGCCGTACAGAGGTCATCCGTCCAAAGCTCCGGTCAGAAGTATAGTTTCAAACATAACAAGAAAGTCACTGAGTTCGCAACAGTGGGGTGAACATTGTTAATGTGCAAACCTGACCTGGTGGGCCAGTCTGTCAGACAAACCTCTCACTGCAGAGCAGAAGAGGACAAAGACTGATTTTTAAACCTTTGCTGACAAAGATAAGATCAGGAGAAAAGATGGGCTTCATGTGAAACCATCAGCTGATCACATCCCCCAAAATTAAGGACATCGGCCCAGAAATCAACTGTTCAACAAATCATTTGGCCAATCCTATTATACTTATAGGATTATCCTATTATCCTATTATATTGTACTTATCCTATTATACTATATTATGTATCCTATTATACATGTATATAATGTAAACAGCACTGCCAGAGATGCAATAAGTTTATGATTGGTGTGTGAATGATCTAATGATCGGGCTGCTGATTGCAGACAGTCCACATTGTGAACAGAACTAGAGGGCCCCAAAACCCCATTTCACTTAGGGCCCCATGGAGGCTCGGGCCGTGCCGGGCCTGACTTGTAATGTAGTCATTTTAATCTGATTGTTCTTACATGATTAGGCTTAGTTAAAACAAAAAAAATTAAATGAAAAATAAACATTAAGGAGAGGAAAATCCAAAGCAAATAAAAAATGAGCGGTGTGACTAAAATTTTCTGGAAGTGCCATGAATGCATTTAGGGTTTTTTGCACGGTCTATGAGTTCAAGGGTCTTTGCAGCCTGTCAGCAACTGAATTAACAAGGCAACGTGCAGCACAAGAAGCTAAAAACACTGAACTCAGGAGAAACCTGCAGCTAGGGCTATATTTAGGAATACGTGGGTGCCTGCACTAACCAGTTTTGCAACATGTTCTTTATTGAATATGTAAATTACAAAACGATAATGTTTAGACACATACTTTTTCAGAGGCGGGTTTAGGCTGGACCACACCAATTTAGTTTTCTTTATAAATAAAATGCCATTATTTTTAAATAATTGTCTACATGGATGTATTTAACAAATAAAGCATGACCCATAACGTTATACATAAAGGGGAAAAAAAGCAAAATGCAGCTAAGCTATGATAGTAGAAAAGAAAATGTGATGCCTTCCCAAGATATTATAATCTTTCCTGCACTCTAAAATCATCCCTTTGATTTGTCATTGATCGGAAACACACAACAAAGGAAATAAATCATTTCACTGTCTTCTTGCATACTTGTATGACAAATTGTCACAAATTGTACATTTCTTCATGATTGTCCCACCTCCAAACTCCAAACTGCATTTGATGGAGCTTTTTGGAGTAATGTGCAAGCAACATTTCTCCTTGCAATATGTGACCCAAAGAGTTCAATTTTGATCTCATCTGACAATAGTGTATACTTCCAGTATTGAACTAGCTTGTTGAAATGTCTGTCCATGCATCACAGAGCACAGTAGACACACACCCGAAAAACTATCAAAGACTGAATACACACTTTCCAACCTAGGGAAAATTTAGGATGTTTCAGACTGGGAGAGGAAGAATATCTGAAGAGAGACCACAAGAACATTTTAGCAAGAGCTACCTTACAATCAGAAGAACCATTAGCCTCCTGTTCAAGTGATGACACATTAATCAAGCCGCAAAACTCTTAACTCTTTGCTGCACTCTTTGTGTTTTTACTTGCATTAGATATAGATTGTGAGAAAAGCTACTTCTGCTTATTCAGGGACTCTGTAACTGTGTGAATGGTGTTTGGTTTTGGACAATATTTGGATTTCATGCACCCTCATTAGAAACATATTTACTGAGAAAGACATCAACATGTTGAAATTCTGTTCTACGTCATTTACCCAGACACAGCGCCCAAACCAGTGTTGAAATGATCATTCAGTGTTTTCATAGAAGCTCAGTGGAAAAATCTTGAGCGGACATAACACCTGCTGTTGCAGAAAGCTTGCATTCCAGACTTATTTGTCAGCAATTGGTGGCTCAACATTGGGTAACCGCGTTTCTATTTTCCTATATGGAAAAACCCTAAGTAATGAATCTTATAATCTATGGAACAGCAACTTTTTACACATTTGAAACTGACTCACATTTTGATTCATGTGGTATTTCCCTGTTTATGTTAAAGACAAGAGTTCTGTGCAGTTATTTTTCCTTCAGCCCAGTTATCTCCTTACCTCCACCTCTTTCTCTCTCTGCTGCAGAGTTTCTGCCAGCTCCTCATTCTTCTCTAGCAAGGCCCGTCCCAGTTCTGCAGCCAGTATCAGGTCAGTCTCTATCGCTCCCCCACCATCCATGCCGTCAGGGGGGGATGAGGCTGATTGCAAAGCAAAGAGAGATACAGAAGAGGAAGAGGAGAGAGGAAAGAAGGAGTCCTCCAGGCTGGGTGAAGGAAGGCTGTTTTTCCTGGGAGTGAACATGACTGAAACCTTTAGGCTTAAGGGATTAGTTTGAAACCATCACCCTCTTGGCTTTTGGATGACTTCTCCAGAGTCAGATAGGTGAGGGATGGACTCCCATTCCTTCTCCTTTCATTTAGTTTCCCACTGTGTTCTTCAGAGGCACCAATGCTGCAATCATTCAGAAACTCTTCTCTTCAGAGACAAATCTATAACAGCAAGAAATCAATACAGACAATCTTAGAAAGGCTTCGCGTGACAAGTTGTTTTCTGGTGATATTATCTAACAACTTAACAAGGAGGTCTTTTGTCTGACTGGTGATTTGGTTTCTCTGACCGAAAATCTAGCTCCTTTATTACCATTGTTCTTTCTCCCCTCCCTAAATTCCTCAGCAGGTGTAAGCATTATGTTTCAGTCTCAGGCTGTAAAGAAACTAAAGTAAAAAGTTTCTGAAACCCTGTGAACAGAAACGATTGTGAATATTCCAGGTTTTTTCCACACACTTTAACTAATGTGTCATTGCTCTAACACAAATTTCATTCAAAACCATTTCCTCTGAGGTCACTCTTTGACGTAACGTTCTACTTCCACCTCTTATAACCAATAATTCTTCCAAATTAAAGCATTTCAGAACTTATTTGTAAGTCAAATTATTCAAAATTTGAAGTCAGACAAAAACCAAGTTATTCTGGCTCAAAGAAGAAGAATCAAGTCTGTCTTACCTGACGGGTTACCAGCTACCAGAAAGTCTTCCTGTTTGGTGTTGAGTGTGCGCACATTTTGTCTGTGTGCCTGGGAGTATTTGCGCAAGAGAGGATCAGCTGGTTTCCCTGGCAGTGGAAACATACGGTATGTAAATACAATCTGAGGGCCACACCTCCTCCCGAATCACAGAGGTGTAAAGGATCAGAGTCAGGAACAGATGAAGCAGGTGCTGTTTAGACATCTAGTGGTTGAGCAGGGATATTAAAAAGCAGATAAAGTTTGAGGAAGTTGCTGCTTGAAAGCTCAGCAGTCTTCTGTTGGGATGGAAAGAGATGAGGACACAAATAGGGGTTTGTTAACTTCAGCTCACAACCCCTCCTTCTCCTCCTGTCTTGTTTACCTGCTTGGAGTGTTTCAAAGGAGTGCTCTGTTCATTTATGAGGAAGGGGGCAGGGAGAGTGTCGAAGAGAGGGAAACTGACACCCCACCTCCTCTCAAACGGGGAAAAAGGAATAAAAAGCTGAGGACGACCCTCATCAATCATAAACTTTTTTTTGTCTTAGTCTCTGTATTTTCTGCATTCTGATATGGCTTTCAGGCTGTTTTTAGCTCTCTCTGTGATGCTTTTCCTGACAGCCTGTGAAGCTGGAAAGCAGATGCCCAAACTATCGAATAAGAAACTCTGCGCTGACTCCGAATGCAGTCGTAAGTAGCAACAGCTTCTATTTCTTCCTTGCTTACTGATTATATTATCTAACACCTGAAACAGATGAAAGATAAATGCTGAGTTTTTGAAGAAATGAAAAAAATACTGTTGCATCTTCATGGATAAAGGAGAATAATTTGGAAAGTAGGGTACCAGAGTCTGGAGAAAGAGTGAAAAGATACAGAATTCAATACTTGGGGACCATATCTGCTGGTGTTGGTCCGCTGTGTTTTCAGAAGCCCAAAGACGGCTCAGAATCCACCAGGAACTTTAAGAGCACTCCATGCATTTTTCTGCACATAACTTTTATGAAGGTGCTGATTTTATTTTCTGTCTGTCCACACTGCCAAAAGTACCAATACTTGCTATCACTGTACTGGATTGGCCAGAACCCCCCAGCCCAACCCACCCCCGCTTGACCTAACTATACAAAGAAGATGAGAAACAAGAGAGTAAAATGATGATGGCTCATTTTACTCCCTTTATCAAATATACATAAAGGGAACACTCAAATAACACATCCTATATCTGAATGAATGAAATAAAAATGAAAATAATTTCCACCTGTTGTCTATTCCATTTGCACAACAGCAGGTGATATTGATTGTCAATCAGTGTTGCTTTCTAAGTGGACAGTTTGATTTCACAGAAGTTTGAGTTACTTGGAGTTATATTGTGTTGTTTGAGTGTTCCCTTTATTTTTTTGAGCAGTATAATCTACAGCTTTCATTTTTTAAATATAATTACTGCGTTGACTAAGCTTTTGACGGTTTTTTGAGCTGCACAACAATTTAAAAAAATCTTACAGTCATTCAAGCCCCTACAAATCCTAATTTATGTCTTACACAGATCCGATCCTCATAGCCCAGGCGCTTCAGGACTACTACCCTGGAGACTGCAGGTTCATCCCCATCCGACAGGGGCAGCTCGTCTATGTTTATGCAATGCTAAAAGACAGAGGGAATCTCTTCTGGGCTGGCAGTGTGAGTAAAGAAGAATAATGGTAGAAAAATCAATTATGACCATAACACACAGTGCATTGCAAAAATAATCATACCTCTGGAACGTCACATTACAACCACAAAAAAATTGCACAATTTTATTGTGTGACTGATCAATAAAAAATAATCATAAATTTACTATTCTTAAAAAGTCGTTGGCAAGTGAATAAAGTCAATCTGTGTGTATTTTAATCTCAACCTCAGATGTTTGTTAGAAAACATTGAAGAACAATCAATATTATGAGGCTTATTGTAGTCTGTAGCACACTGTTGAGGCAACACAAACCTGTCAGTAACTTTGAACCCAAATAAATCTTACTACAAACTTTATTTTTAGTAAGATTTAAGTTTTAAGTCCTGTGAACAAGACCTAATTTTTGCTTCAACCCTTTAAAAAAATGTCATGTGTACGATAATCAAACCTGCTGGGTGTGAAGATAACTTGAAATAGAAAAAGGCTTCTTTCTGAAATTTAGAATCTGGTAGATAAATAAAAAATACCACTAATATTTTTTTTCTTTGCTACTTTTGAGTGTTCCAGTCAGCGTACGGATGTAACAGGTTCGACTTAATCAGCCTCGGCGCCTGCCATCAGTTGCAGTGGCCAAGAATAACAAAGCAAATATTGGCTGAAAATATCTTCCTACTCAAGCCTCGAAAGTCTTACATAAATACATGCATGTTCCAGGAGGAATAAATCAATGTAGCAACTTCCATGGTAAATAAGAAAAAGTTTCTGGTATTAGTATAATAGATTATGTTGTACTCATTTTAAAAGGCACATCTGCCACAAACCAGGTAACTTCAAACTGTAAGTAAAAATAAAGTAACAATCATCAACAATAGATTTTAGGTGTTTGAACTGTGTCCCATCTAAAGATGGTGTTGTTCAGTCATCTTGAAGTTTACTAAGATATAGTAAAAAAGATTGAGAAGCTCTAATCTAGATATTTTTCTACTGCAGGTACAAAACACATATTATGGAGAACAGGAGGCTCGCATTGGTCACTTCCCTAGCAGCGTTGTGGAGGAAACACATGCTCTCATGCCAGCAACCACTGAAGTCAAAACAACCGTAAGTCAACTAACAGTTCTGTGCATATTTACAAATAAGTTGAACTATTATCAAATTTTTTCTATTTTATTCTTCTATTTTCACTGCTTTCATTTTTTTATTCAGAACTGGGACTTCTACTGCAACTGATGTTGAATGGACACAGAGAAAACAACAATAAGGAAGGGCTTTCCTTAACACATAATTATGGTCAAATCCATGTTAGCTCATCTCTGATAAAGTCTTTATTATTAAATGATTGATGGGTGTCAGAAATTGCATTCTGATAACCTTTTCAAATAGATCATTGATTTCAAGATAGAGTTATTTTGCTCTTTCTGTTATACATCAAACTTGGGCTCTTCTTTCATGTTTTTCTATGTTCTTGTTATTTGGTATTTAAGTGATATTTACTTTATACACCATGACTTAACAGGATTCAATCAGATTTTCTGTCAAAATTAAATAAAAAAATATATTGCAATTAACTTATCTGTATTTAAACATGTAACCATCTTTATCTTAAATTATTTAGAAGATAGTCATTCTACATATGCTATCTGTGACACATTGGCTTTTCATACTTTGTTTTATAGATGATAAACATTTCAACAAAAACAGTAAAAAATTTGTCCTTTTTTTAGGTTGAGTTGGCAGGAGATTTCACTTGGATATGCTGCACGATATGATGGTGAAATATACATCTTTTAAATAAATATATATATTTTTGTTTTGTTTTAACTGTTTTATGCTTAGACATACAGAACATACAGAACATTTGGATTTAAATAATTTTTTCAAGACAAGGTCAATTTCTACTATCTGGCAGTAATTCGATTTTTTTGTTTTGATTGTGTCATCATTTGTAAAACAGCAATAAAATGTTTGCCACATCTTTGAGGTTGGTTTATTGATTTGAATTTTAAAAATTGCTTTTGAATTGTCATGAATGTTTGGGGCCTAAACAATAAAAGAACTTGACTTTTCAACCTTTGCTGTTGTGTGAAATTATCCTCTCAAAAGAAATAAATGACAACACAAATTTGAGTTTTAATATTTATTCTAAATATGGTTTTCTGTGTTAATGTGCCAGAGGCTATAGCCAGTTTAATAGTAATAGTAGAGCGTTGGGTATACAAGTAAAAATCTACTCACTGTCGAAAACAGTACATATAGATAAGATATCTGAAGAAAAAAAGTGGCTCTTGTGCTCATCTTTTACACTGCGACCTGCACCTGTCATTCTTCATCTGTTGCTTTTTCTACTCCATACAGTCTTGGCCCGAAATCCTCCAGTGGCATTTTGATTTAACAGAAAAAGCAATCAAATAGATTGATCCTGTATCTCTTCACTTTCAGAAACCAGCACCTTATCCCACTGAAAAGAGAGCACAGCTGGCATTTTGTTAATAAGTCTGACAATGTTAGTGTTAGACAAGACCTTTTTAAGCTTTCTAGGCTTTTCTCTTCCACCCAACTTTTTAGAGTTTGGTCTAAATGCAAAGCTTTCTCAGGCTTTGTCTCAGATTCACACACTAGGAAAAAGGAAAGAAGTACATTTGGTAGTTTAAATAAATGCATGGCTATAATTTGTCAAGGATATCCCTATTCTCTGGAACTTAATATTGTAATGTTAGATGTTTATGCAGGATCCAATTTTTTCCAGAGGTTACTTTGTTCTAAATCCAACAGTGATTGTAAGCTGGAAATTAGGAGGTTATGTCAGCGTTTTTTTTTTTGTTTTTTTTTCAAACTTGCCTGACCTATTATGTTAACCAAAATGCCAACATATAAACAAGTAGTGATGGGTTAGTACTTAATCAGTATCAGGGCTGTCAGGATGCTCTACATTTTTGGTTTCTGTGAGCCATCTTCAAATGAGATGGGAATGTTGCGGTCTGGCCCAAGACATGGCCGAGGCACCGTAATTGTTAGCACACCATCAGATGACAGATTGGAGGTGATGTCGGCCCCTAACACACCAGATGGAAGCCTGTACTTCCTCAGAAACTCTCTTGACACAAAGCCGTGATCATCCTGAAAGCAGAATTAGTCAGTGTTAGAAAAGTTGCAGCTTGCAGTTTCTGCAGATCTCTGGAATCTCTCCTTACCTGTCTGTCCTCGTGTTTAGCATGCACTGTGATGAACTCTTCGCTAACATTGACGGACAGCTCGTCAGGGGAGAAATGCTTCACATCCAGATAAATAACAAAGCGGTCCTTTTCCATTCGCATCTGGGCAGAAATTTGTTAGAAGTAGAAAGATGTTATTTTTTTCTCAGTGCAATTTCATATCAATAGAAAGTTAATTGTGTTTCTAACTTCAACTTAAGCACTTAGAATTCTGATTTAAACAACAAATCTCACAAATGTGATTGTAAAACACTAAGGCTTGAAGAAGCATCAAAAGGTGAACCAAACAGCACTTTACCTCACTGTGCCCATTTTCTGGCCAGTTGAACCAGCGCATAAATGAAGGTCGCATCCAGGGGAAGGACCAGGAGAAGGGCCACACCAGTGGCCAGTCAGCAAGAGGTTCTGCCAAGGAGAGGTCAGACAACCGGCTTGGGAAGGCACGGCGGTACCAAGGGTACTGAATGGGAATATCCATAGTGGAAGTCAGAGAAGGTTTTAAGCTCAGAGCTGGTCTAACTTGGCTCAAGATGGGTGCAGCTCTCCAGTCCTACACTGAATTTATAGGCCTTTCCCTCCCAACCCATCCAAACCTCCCTAACCTCCCATGCCATCACTGGCAGTGAAACTGTGCCAACAGGCTGATCTCTCTGGAACAATGATGTCAGCTGTTTGTCCCTTCATACCCCTGACTGTTTCCTCTGTCTGACTGCTGTCTCACACTCTCCCCCGGACACCATGTTTCTCTCTCTCAGTCGTGACAGGACACTGGCTGGGAATATTGCTGATACCTCCAAGCTTATGCCCCAGGAAATACCACTGCCCAGTGTTGGAGAGTTTGTTTGCCGTATAGCTTACAGAGCATTAGCCGGTGGTGCACCATGTGCCAAAAGCTTAGATCTATGTGTGGAGTGGATGTGGTGTTGAATGGAAACTGATGAGTTTGTATGGGACAGCATTAGGTGAGACTTTATCTGCATAAAGTTTTGCCATGAGCTCAGATTTTAAAAATTGCTTTTCTATTGGTTGTTCCAAATAAACGTTATTTGTCCTCTTACACATTTCTTCTATTTTAGCTTGTTTGTGTACTTAAATGTTTCTGCTCAAAAAGACAATAAATAAATAAATAAATAAAAAATAACACAGTGATCCCTATAGGAAGCAAAGTTTTTAAATTAATATTTCATTTATTAATGGAAAGAAAGCTATCCAAACATACCTGACCTTGTGTGAAAAAGTTATTGAACCAAGCTAATATTTGCCCTTGACCAATAAATAGTTGTGCGCCCCTGGCAGCAAGTGAAGTTTTTTACATCTCTGGTGAGTAATTTAACATTGGAAAGGTTTTTTTTTCTATGTATAAAAGATTATTTGATTGCTGAGCTATTTTTTAATCTGTTAAATTACCCAACGATTTTTTTTACCCAAAACTTTCATGACCCACTCTGGGCGTAAAATGTAATTAATAAATAAATTACATTACATTAACATGTGATTAATTGACTACATATTACATTAGGAGTTTGTTTAAATTTAATTAATTAATTAATAGAAAGACAAAAAGAGGTTTCGGTTGATCAACTTCCGGTCTACCATTGGTTGCCATAGCGACGTGCCTAACATTGCTGCCGCGAGGAGTTTGTTCAAACTTTGTCCCCAGCTGCTTCAAATGCTTTTCTATCTACAGAAATGAACTTGCCGGCTATATATTATGGCGAACTGGACCGGAAAAATCCCGTCCTTACATGTTTTAGGCGCGAAACGGAATCATTTTTAAAGCTTATGAAACAAGTCACGACGACGAAGCGCGACAACAACTCTTATGCTAAAGGGTAAGAAAGCGGTGAAGTATGACGACCTGATTTTCTCGTCATTTACGCTTATTCACAAAAAAACTGTTAATGTTATATTGCTAACATTTAGCACAGTTACTATTTTTTTTCTCCAAAGCAGCTTTTCTTTGTCAGATTCTCAAGACACATTTTAACATACTTTTGTTTTTAGGATTGAACTACTTATGAAAATACGGAGAGAGTACAAAGACCGAATACCAGAGAGGTTTTACCAGGAGCACGTGTTGCAGGTTGCAGATGTCCTTTGTGAATATAAGGTACCTGTTTGCTGCTGTTTTACACCATCTTTATAATGTTGTCAGTCAACAGGCAGGTATTGGGATCACATTGCACACCAAACATGTAGATTAACAGCAACACAATGTCTCATGCGAAACTATTTGAAGCTGACAAATGAGCCTCTGACTCTTCAGATTTCACTCTTACTCTCTTTGTTTCTAGCTGTACCAGCTGGCTCTATGGCAGGGCTACAGTTTCTTCCTGCTGCAGTTGAGCTCAGTGGAAATAACTGACATTACAGATGTGGACCACTTTATGGCTTGCTTTTTCCCGGAAGGATTTGAACTGGAACAAGGAACCTTCACTTTAAAGGTACACAGACAAATGCATTTTTTTTTTGACAAATACACAAATATACAATACCAAAATATTGACAAGGGTGTATTTTTCTGTGCACCAAGACACGTGCAATGTTTGGAAGTGCCATATGTATCTTTGAGCAAGAGAAAAAGCACAGCATCCTCAGCCAGAAGGGACTCTCTATTCTGCTGAAAGTGCTGGACTTCATCAGGATCATGATGCAAGCATTCCAGCAGCATGAACATCTCTCCTGGCTCATATATAATGGTTTGTAAAGTCAACTAGTTATCTGGCTTCAGCTTTGAAGGAAAGATAAATTAACAAGTTGCCAAAATATTTTTGTCTTTAAAAAATCAGATTATTGGTAATAACTTGCATCTAGTATTGGATATTACATAAATATGTATAACTCTTGGGACTTTAAACCATCAAAAAGTAGTTTTAAAGGATCATAATATGTTTTTTTTTTATTTTCTACTTTTTACTGAAGTTAGACATCTATGTGTTTTATGGTATGTCTCTACCGTATCTGCCTATGTAGAGAGGTTCTTTTGGCCATTTTTTTCTTGCTAAATAAGCAGATTTAAGATATCTAAAGCTTTCATATTGTTTTCTAACCTAACCCTGCTTTAAATTTGTAGCTTTTACATTAACCTGTCTATGGTGTTCTTTGGTTTTCACTATATATACAAATGCACATCACACTTATCAGATTTTCTTTTAATTTATTAAATTGTTTGAAAAAAATATGTCAATATCAATTACTCTAAATGTGTGCTCAATTACAGCATACATTTCTTCTGCAATCGAGCAGCACCCCTTTGTGTTGCTCTGTCACATGAAATATGCAAAACTATGTTGCAGATTGTTTCAGAATTATTTCCATTCTCTATAATAATTACTTTCTCATCTATCCTAGGTTCATTGTACATTTACAACATCTGCCGTTACCTGATGACTATGAATTGCAGTGAGCAGGTGCTTTTACATTTATAGACTCTGTACTATTTATTCATATGATTCATGTGATTTTTTGTATGTTTCATCTGATGCTGTGCTGTGTCGAGCATCTGATTTCAAAGATACTCAGCACAGATAAGATGAAATGGATGTTTGGTAGGAAATAACTTGAGAGACACCAGAGGTGAATTGTGAAAAAATCTATAGTATTATATTGAAATTATAATTGAAAAGATCTGCTGAAAATTGAGTTGCTACCAACTTTTTTTTTTTTTCACATCTACAGCATGCATATAAATGCATCCCTATTTATGACTCCTAACAGGATTATTTATGCTCCTACTCAGGTTCTGGAGTACCTTCTGTGGG